AGGCAGAATTTGAGTAAAGAATTCTTTTCGGCAATTCTCATCAGACTCAAACATTACATGATGAGCAAAATGCTAAATGTGCCGGATTGGGCTGCGTATTGAACACAATGTTCAATTTCATGGGTACAAATCAATAAATCACGGGGTCATTGTAGGTGGCAAGTATGTACAGGGGAAATCACATCCCAAGTTGTAGGCCACGGTAGAAGTAAAGGACGTACAAACTGTTTTTGTACGCATAATTCTGGCTTGAGATGGCGGATGTAGATAGCTTCCGCGATAGACAGAAGATGCATCCGGAATCCGCGCGTGAAACGTTCAGGAACAGTATAGATGACTCTAAAATCATTTTCCGTTCCTGCATGACTGCACTCTAGAAGGTGAGATAGGATGGAACTGTTACTCGACCTCGCTTCGCCTTTGTAAAACCATTTTGGGATGTGTTCGCGAATCCTATGAGATAGACGTCTAGTATCGTGCTTGGCCCAACACAACTAAATGTGTTCTCATTAGGCTCTAAGTTTTGCATCCCTTGTAAAAAAGTTGATCAGGCTGCATTAGAGGTGCAATTTGAGAGCTTAATAGCGCAGGCGCGCGACCTGTCATCAAATTCGCCAGGGGACGTTGAGCACATGTTATCTAGCTTAGTAAACACTTGCCATCATTACATTAAGGCAAGACCAGCCAGTAGTGGTACACTTACAAGCGAACATATACAGTCACTTAGAGAGTTATGGTTAAACAAAGAGTTAATTATCTCTAAGCCGGATAAAGGTTCTGGTATAGTTCTAATGAATAGAACTGATTATGTTAGTAAAATGCAACATATGCTTAGTGATGAACGTAAGTTTCAAAAGCTAACATTAGGAAAGGATAATACAGAAGAGTTAGAAAAACAAATGACCGATTTGCTCCGACGAATGATGAACGAGAATGTTATCACAAAGTGCGAATTCGAAAAGTTGAGACCTTCAGGCGGACATCTGCCACGGTTGTACGGCCTCCCTAAAGTACACAAGGAGGGCGCTCCAATGCGTCCCATCTTGGATATGGTTAGCTCTCCGCAACACTTGATAGCCCAATGGATGGTTGAAAATCTGGAACCGCTGCGTAAAACTGTCTGCACTTACTGCGTGAAAGACACTTTCGAGTTCATTGAGAAGATAAGGGATGTGAACCTTAACAACAAATGGATGTCGTCATTTGATGCGCAGTCGTTTTTTACGAATATTCCGTTGTTGGAAACAGTAGAATATGTCTGCGACTTAGTACGGCAACTGCCTGTACCTATAAATATCCCGGAAAACCTCCTGAAGGAATTGTTACTTAGATGCACCTTAAACGTGCAGTTCACCTTTAACGGGGAGATGTATCGTCAAATTGATGGAGTTGCCATGGGCTCACCATTGGGACCCTTCCTAGCAGATATCTTTATGGCAAAATTGGAGCATAACGTATTAAGAACGCACATCAACGAAGTCGCGATGTATATACGTTATGTAGACGATACATTTATACTCTGCAAATCGAAAGCGCAGACTGTGAAACTGTTGGAAGCTTTTAATGATGCGCATCAGAATCTACACTTCACATGTGAGCACGAATCCAGAAACCGACTACCGTTCCTGGATGTTGATATCATCAGAAACGCCGATGGATCGTGCAGCAGAGGGGTGTATAGGAAACCAACTTGGACCGGACAGTACATCAACTTCTATAGTGCGGTACCCATACAGTACAAACGAAACCTAGTCCGCACTCTTTCGTTCCGGGCACATAGAATTTGCACCCCGGACACAATCACCAAGGAATTACAGAGAATCAGCGATGCGCTAAGAGCGAATGGGTATCCAGTTAAATTCATCCTCAAACATTTGAAAGAACGCAAGATCAAACCACCCAGGATGAACGTACCCAAAAAAGAACTAATCGTGCATATTCCTTTCAAAGGCGACAGTGCGGCTGATGCCCTGTCCAAACGCCTGAGGGACACTGTTGAAAAGACCTATTTCGCGGCTCGCCTACGCATAGTATTTTACAACAAGCCTATATTCGCAAAACCTTTGAAAGACAGGCTGCCCCGGTGACCCGATCAATGCTTGTTTATCTTTACTCGTGCTCCAGTGGGGCACGATAGATGTGTCGTACCACGAGACGCCTATCTCATTGGATTCGCGAACACATCCCAAAATGGTTTTACAAAGGCGAAGCGAGGTCGAGTAACAGTTCCATCCTATCTCACCTTCTAGAGTGCAGTCATGCAGGAACGGAAAATGATTTTAGAGTCATCTATACTGTTCCTGAACGTTTCACGCGCGGATTCCGGATGCATCTTCTGTCTATCGCGGAAGCTATCTACATCCGCCATCTCAAGCCAGAATTATGCGTACAAAAACAGTTTGTACGTCCTTTACTTCTACCGTGGCCTACAACTTGGGATGTGATTTCCCCTGTACATACTTGCCACCTACAATGACCCCGTGATTTATTGATTTGTACCCATGAAATTGAACATTGTGTTCAATACGCAGCCCAATCCGGCACATTTAGCATTTTGCTCATCATGTAATGTTTGAGTCTGATGAGAATTGCCGAAAAGAATTCTTTACTCAAATTCTGCCTTCTTGATTCATTCTTTTGAATCAGTTATTGATTGCTGTACATAATAAGTTCCCAGTTTATCTGTTTCCCCTATCATCTGACGTCCTTGTCCTTGTACATAGCTAGCAATAGCTTCTTACAAGTTTTAGTTATCTGCTTCATAATTGCAGCGTTTGATGATATTTATGGAAAAGAAATTTCTTCGCAATTGTTCTCTTCATGTCTGAATGGGCATAATTTATGAGTATAAGAATCTCTATAGTACTGACTCTCAAAGGGTGGTCCGCGGATGCCCAGGGGTTACGTGGGCTACTTTCAGGGAATCCGCGTGTTCTCCCAAAGTGTTACAATTCTATTAGGAACTTTTATGAATGCGATCAATCTAGTTCACAAATTTATAACAAACATGCTGTGAAAATTTTAAATAGAATCTAACGGTTTACATTATAGCTTTGTGCATTGCCCATGGAAACATACCTCTTCCAAGGAGGAAGGTTCTTTTGGCTAGGAGTTAAAATGTGAGCGAACGAGGTTTTCCAAGTTCAGAAACATCGTGTTAATTTCACCGTGATTTCATGGGCAGTGGCTGGATGGGTCGTTCTACGTGCGCTCAAGCTCACATAACCCAGTCTATGTCCCTCGAGTGACAGCGCGAAGTATGCCATATGATAGGGCTCAAGTTTGCGGTCATTTCACGTGTTACTATTCTCCGAAAAATAAGCAAACTGGAAGGAGAGGCTCGTTTGCAGGATCGTGGCCATGGAAGTTCAGAACGAAAGTGTGGATATTTCTGTGTTTAACGAATGTGCTCAGCCGATTCTGCGAACTCGAGGGAAACTGCATCAGCGACGTTACAAAAGGGTGGCACTTTCGTTCGCTACGATAATTCTTTCAAAGTCCAATTTATCATAGTAACCAAATTCCTGATGTGTTTTGGACTCTTGTCTTTAATTATTTATCTCCATTGTGGTAGTTATACATGTAACATCAACACCGACCATGAAATGA